CTCTAAAAAAGATGCACTTCACAACCACATTGTTTCTAGTATATGTGTTTTGGCAACTTTGGAGCATTAGAGATTGTTGGCTTCAACAATTGTCACACGATGAATAAAGACTAAAGTGTATGCATTAAACAAACAAGAGTTTTCAAAACAATTTGGTGAAATTGGATCATTTTCAGCAGCACTGCTCTCTCACAAAAACAAACATGCATTTCTTACAGTTCTGTAAAAGGAATGATAGAGTCAATTAACTTGTGTTCATTAGCTTTTTGCTTGCTGTCGCTTTGCAAACTTTGGTTGTTCTTTTTTGTCAAAGATGGCTAAGGTTTGTGCCGCTTCTAGTCTTGAAGCTTTAGAGCTGCTTGATTCATTCAGACCTACATGACATACATGATATTTATTTAAAAAATGTCATACTCAAGAGGACAACAGATGAAAACTGTGTCTATTTATCTTTTCTTTTCCAGAGTGGCTTTTCAGCTGCATCTCTGATGAGGGACACAACACATTATATAAAGTGCTCTTCCGTAATGGTTTCTGATGCAGAAATGAAATGAAGTCTTGCTGGAGGTATTTTCTACATGTCCATTAAGATTGAAGTTGTTCTACATGGAATTTCAATGAATGAACTGAGCTATTTTTAGATGCACTTTTACTGATTTATCTCTGGCTCTTATGTATGGGATTAAAAAATACGAGAGCCTGCACATGAGAACGAAGATACCAGCAGCCATGATAATGTATTATCAATTAGCTGTCAGGACCTCTGAAGCGGTTCAAGTTGGTCTATGGGCTTTTCCCTTCATCACGGTTTTATTCATCATTTTTATTGTACCCTGAAGTGGACAATACATCTACAACATGTGAACAGCATTAAGGTTAACTGGCAGCAGTGCCGTCCATCATTATCCACAGGTATCTTTCAGGGAAGATGGACGTTGTCTTGAAAAGGTGAGGTTTTCCATCACCTCTTACTAAAAAGGAACAGTTCACTCTCCACTTTCGGAAGATTTTTAAAGTTGACAAAAGTACAAGTGTTGAAGAAGACATGAAGAGGAAGAGTTCAGTGGAGCAGAAGAGCTCAAGGAAAGGAAGACGTCAAGGTTCTTGGCTGCCACGGCTTAGAGTATGTAAACAAAACAAACTGGATTTATCTGAAGCCAGACGCAAAAACTACAAAGGCCTATGTATACATACATAGATACTACACATATACATACATATATATATAAATACATATATATATATATACACACACACACATATATTCATATATATACACACACATACATATATTCATATATATGTATATATACATATACATATATACATATATTCATATATATATATTTACCATATATATATATACACACACAAACAAAGTGACTGGTGGGAGTACAAATGTGATACAGGAGGCTGTAATATTGCTAGAGGTTAGGTATTGCAATACATTTGCAAAAAACTATAGGAACCATTTTAAAAAAACATGCAGACCTGAGATTGTGCACATGCTAAATAAATGCTTAAAAATAAGGAAGCTCAGATTTTAAATTCTGAATTCTTTACTAAAGCAGGAAAGCCACACAAGAGCGTCATCGGCGATAGTTACTCAGACCCCTGAACCTAACGTTTGTTAACGACAAATACGTTTGGATCTGTACCAGCAGCTTTTACTGGTACCTGAACAATTCTGTGGTTTAATGGAAAACTGAGGCACTCAGGCAGAATTAGAGTCTTTTCTAGTCTTTTCAGCAATGTTCTTTTTTTACCAGAGAAGGTTCAACTACATTCACTATCTTGTTCCAAAAAAAAAAAAAAATCAATGGGATTATATTTGGTGCATAATTAAAACATGTTGGAATCTGTGGGCTGTTCAGAAACTATTAATGAGATGAGACGAAAGTTATTCACAGCAGTGTGAGGTGAGCGAGGATGAGATGAACTCATCCAAGTGAAGTGTAATGTGTGCAGATAGTCGATTAAAAGGGTAAAAATGTTACAGACAATGAGAGAATGAGCTGGGGGGGGGGGAGAGAGGGGGAGAGGGAGAAGGAGAGGGAGAGAGAGGGAGAGAGAACAAAAGAGAGAGAGAGAGAGAGATCTACCATTATACAATTTCATTTCCTGAGACAGCAGATATCAAATGAAGGTCAATACACGACTGAAAAAGCAGAATAAAGCAGATGTTCAGACATAACAGTCTGAACATCTGAGTCCAATGTCCAGAACTGGAATTTTAGAATTTCCTTTTCACAATTAAGTTTCATGCAACAGGAAGTCACCACGACTGAGCAGCACTATTATAGTGTACGAAAAAATACCAACACACACGTTTCCAGAAAAGCCACGTCCACGCCGTGTACACACCTGTACTGTATGACATTAAGAAAAGCCACGTCGTGTACACACCTGTACTGTATGACATTTACTCTGTTCCCGTCAAACACACACTCTTAAGACGCAGTAACTGCCTGCTGTTAACGTTCCTGGGTTTGCCACTCTGTTCTCTCAGCCTTTTCCACTCAGTTAATCTCATTTTATTACGAGCCACATTACTGAGTACTGAATGTTCCCCTGAGTACTGTCTGTGTACTCTGGGGGTCCTAAAACACACCAAGGCATTTTCTCACGCTACATCCTCCACTTTGTCGAACGTGTGAGTGTAAATAAAAACTGTGTCTTGAAATTGTGAATTTGATATCTCTAATGGACTTTTCATCCTACAGACCAGGGGTACACAACCTCTGGTCCGGGGACCAGTGATGGTCCGTAGGTCATTTGGTACTGGGCCGCAGTTGGACACAGGAAAAAAAAGAAGTATTTAACTTCTACATATTTACTTCATTCAAAAATAATTCAGTGATATCCCTTTACTGCCGCAATAGACCAAATATATATGGACTGTCTACAACATTGTCAAACAATTCAGTGAGACTGTCCAACTTCTAACACAAAGTGTGTTAAGATGTTGGAGAGTCAGGCATGCAGTATAGCAGTACATACTCAACAACAATCCAGGTGTATTTTTACCTTGACATGTTTCAGTGGTGAGTTCCTGTCCTGCCCAGAAGCATCACTTGATGTCACTGCGAAGGTTCCTTATCAGCCATATTGACAAGGCGGCCATGTCACCCACTGTCCGACTTCTTCAAGTGTGGTCCAGTAATAACACCTTCTCGGTACATTGTCCGTTTTTACGCCTCCACATTCTTTGGCTTCATGTATCCAGTGTTGTTAATGAGTTTCTGTTGTGTTTATTTTAACTTTGTCCCGGTCAATGTTGTGATTCTGTCTTTTAGGTACAGTGGTCAGATACTGTAGGGCAGATTTGAAATCCTCATGGTCTGCCTTTTGATCAGACACTCAGGTTCTTGTCCATGTTCTCTCTTGCACTAGAACATATCCATGTGCTTTTTAAGCAGCACAGTATTCCATGAATTGATATCTGGATGTATTTTATCTTTAGGGCGTTTGAGTTTTAGGAATGGTTTGACCGCTGGTACGGTTGAAGCCAGTTCAAGTTGGCACAGAGAGGGGAGCGGGAGGGCGTGATGAAGATAAAGATCATCTTATTACATACAGGGAGGACCCAAATATACAGAACAGGGGGGAAAAAAAAGAAAAAAACAACAAACTGAACTGAGTAATTATCAACAGAGATCAGAGGCCAGGCAGGAACAGAGGAGGGAAACTCCACAGAACACACTGAGAAACAGACCTGCGGTTCTTCAACAAGAACAAACAGCAACCAACACAGAGTGAGGGGGAGGGTATTTATACTCAGGACACCAGGTGAGCCGAGTGAGACTGATTGACACACAGTCACAGGTGAGGGTGATTGAACTAATTACCCCAGGAGACACAGACAGGAGGGCAGAAAGGCCTGAGACTATCTAATGTCAAGTCCTTTATTTGCTCACAAAGCAAATTGTGAGAAACAAAAAATCTCTTCTAACCTCATCCATAGAGGAGGACATTTGTTAAGTCAGAAGTTTAGTTTGTTTGCAGCCTAATACAAACCAGAGCCTTCTGGGTAATGGACTATTTACCTGCTGACCTGAGAGCTGTGTTTTGTATGTGTAGAAATGTAAAAGTTTGTGGATAAAAATGAAAAGAGTCAGACTTTTATTTGGGGCATGATCTCGTCATTATTCTTCATCAGTACATTAACAGATTAATGATGACTTCTAACAAAGTGAAGTGTGTGTGTGTGTGTGTGTGTGTGTGTGTGTGCCTGTCACAAACCAAACTCAATGAAATGATGTATAAACCTCCCTGAGCTGAAAACATTGCCATGTGTGCAAACAAAAAGTGATGATTTGGGGCGTTTTAAATCTGTTGACATCTGCTCTACGGCACAGTGTACTGCACACGTCTCCCTCTCTGTCCTGACGGCTGTGGAATAAAATATGAGGTCAAATAAGAGGTCGACGTGTCTTCACATGACTGACTATGCATGGTTTGTGTTTCTTAATACAATCCAAATACTATATAAAAAATAGATATGTTTGCAGTTAGATGTCACAGCTCTGTGGACCAGGCACTTTTCCCATGCACCCTTTTTGTTTGTCCACTGAGTGACCCTGTATCTAGACCCCGCTGCTCCTCTTGCTCCCATGTGACCGCTCAGGCCTGTCCTTGTATTCAAGTTATGCACACTGTGCCTGAGGACGACAGCTGCAGTGTCACCGGAAGAAGTCAGAAGAAGTTTTTTTTCTGTTTGTTTTCTTCTTTTTATTCAGTGAAAAACAGTGGGTTTTTACAGATTTAAGAAAAAATAAAAGAATAAATTTAAAAAAATCATTGAGTCATATATTAATATTAAAATGCATTACAGGTTACTATATATGAATTAAAACACAGGTCATTTGGAAATACCAGAATTTAGGATATCATTTCATTTATTTATTCTTATTTTTTTCTCATTCATCGACAGGTTTAAAGGAACCTGCACTTGTGGAGACTTTGAATGCAACACTAAATGTGCGACTTGTGGGTGGAGCTGTGGGTTCAGACCTGCTGTACCAGCTCTGACTCTGTTATCAAGGAGTTGTTAGTTAAAATGGGTGTCTCCGGTCAGTGCGTGGAAGAAATGGAGAAAAGTATCAACGTCATTAAATCCTTACATTTGATTTTTCTTTTCAACTTTAAAACTGAGATATTGTTAGGGTGAAATATATCAGTCATGCACAACTGCATCTTTTGCACAGTGTCTTCTTGATGTGTCTTGGGGTTTGTTTTTGTTTTTTTGCAGAGATCTTCACGGGATGTGCAGACGATGGCTTTTTGATTTTTATCCATCTGACTGGAGGAGATGAAGCCATGGGACTGACGACCGTGTTGACACTCTGTTCTTTTATTTCCACTCTGGTCTGAAGTTCTTTTTTATGGCATCTCACCATGTCAGAGAGCAGCTCGAGGAGTGACAGCATCACTGGGACTTTTCCCGCAGAAGCTCTCAATGGATCTATTTCACTTCCCAACGACAGCATCTCGACTTGTAGGAACTTCACATCGGAGCCACGAGTTGTCGTTCTGGGCGTCTTTCTCTGCGTCTTCATATTAGTTGCGATCGTTGGGAACATTTTAGTGATCCTCTCTGTGGTGTGCAATAAACATTTACAGACAGTCACCAACTTCTTCATCGTGAACTTAGCCATCGCAGACCTGCTCCTCAGCATCATCGTGCTGCCCTTCTCCGCCTGCCTGGAGGTGATGGGATGCTGGGTGTTCGGCCGCGTTTTCTGCAACATCTGGGCAGCGGTGGATGTGCTCTGCTGCACCGCGTCCATCCTCAGTCTCTGCATCATTTCCATCGACAGGTACATCGGGGTCAAGTACTGCCTCAAATACCCGAGTATTATGACGGAGAGCAAGGCTGTGGCTATTTTAGTCTTGGTTTGGCTCTCGTCCACTGTCATCTCGGTGGGACCGCTGCTCGGATGGAAGGAGCCGCCGCCTGTCGACGAGAGCATCTGCAAGATCACGGAGGAGCCTGGCTACGCGCTCTTCTCCTCGCTCTTCTCCTTCTACCTCCCACTCCTGGTCATCCTCATCATGTACTTCCAGGTGTACGTGGTGGCCCGAAGAACAACCAAGAGCCTGGAAGCGGGCGTCAAGCGTGAGAGAGATAACTCCATGGAAGTGGTTCTCCGGATCCACTGCCGCAGTGTCCTGGAGGAGACGCGCACAGCCAGCTCCAAAACCAACAAGAACCACCCGTTCCGAAGTTCGCTGTCTGTGCGTCTACTCAAGTTTTCCAGGGAAAAAAGAGCGGCTAAAACCCTGGCCATCGTCGTGGGGATGTTTATCCTCTGCTGGCTGCCCTTTTTCTTCTTTCTGCCTATGGGTAGGTGTTTATTAGTTTGATATTTTTACTTCTTCTGGCATCAGGGTGCTCACCAAATCAAAAATATTCTATAATTAGAACTGTCTAACATGCAAAGTAAGTCTATTTAAATTTGTTTTTTTCTTTTTACCTTGACGATGGATTTTTTTTTTCTTTTTTCTTTTTACCTTGACGATGGATTTGGTGAACGTAAGTTCTCAACATGTGTTTGGGGATTTAATAACTTTCCAATCTTATTTATTTAAAAAAATTAAAAATGTCACGTATGTACGAAATTATGATGAATATATTAATTATAATTTAAATCATTATAATCATCATCATAATTGTTGTGGTTGTTGTTAATAGTGAATGATTTGACCGTGACGCAAAAGATAACAGTGTTCTATTGTTTAGTGATTATTAAATTCTCTGTTTTTTAGATTTACATTTAATGAGTTAATTTTTTATTTATTTTTCAGTAAATCATAGCAACTGAAATTGTCTCCTAAATGTTGGACCAGACTAATGCTAATAGCTGCTGTCCTGAGTTATTGTTTTTCAAACGGTGTTTCATAAATTAATTTGGAAGTGTGACACGCATATAAAGCTGCACTTAGAGGAAGTACACACACACACACACACACACACACACACACAGGCAGAGTATTGTCTGATGAATTTTCATTACCTACAAGCTAAATTTTCCACAGTTAACCATATAAAGCTATTCTGATCACACGGCCCATTTCTTGAGATTCAGAGCAGCGACCAATCAGATTTATTTTCTGCACATCTAAATCTTATAGATTGTAAATATATTTGAGCAAAGCCTGTAGGAAATCAATGCGGTGCTGCTAATCACATGGGCCCAGATCTGTGATTGTCATTCTGCCAATGAGTCACGCTGGGTGATAACATCAATCATCCATCTGGACGTAGAGCACATCATGAGAATCCTGAATGGATGGAGCGTTGAGCGAGGCCGTAACTGGAGGTCAGCGCTGAGCTCACTCATACCTGCACAGGGATGGATGTCAGCGCCTGGTGGAGACACATCTTTTATGAGTCATCCTGACTGAATGGTTAATGTGCTGCTGACACCCGATCTGTCATGTTGTAATGCCAAAGGACTTTTATACAGAATCTCAATAAGGTGTAGCTCATAATATCAATAAAGGGGCGGAGTTAAGTTTGGGATCTACATATTTAATATTTAAAAAGAAGTACTGCAGTAATAGAGGCTTCAGTCGTGAAGCTGAACCGTTTTATTGACCTGACGCGTCATCACCAATGTAACAGGTCACTGTGTTTCATAGCTAATATTAGCTACATAACAATAAACTATCACTATCAACTGTATGTGTCGTAATAATGAAGATGACAAATGAGTGTTTTCTTCCCATGTGATTTCTATTCCTTTGTGTCTATTTCTTTTCTTGGACTTTCTTATTAATATTTTGTTTAAAATAATAGTATTGTTATGTAATGTTTTATTTTATTTTATTTTCTTTTTTATTATTTTGTCTTCTCATCATTTTTGTTTCTTGGTGGTAACACTATAGATTTCCAGGTTTTCATTGTTATCGTTGTGTCCCGTGTGTTGCTTTACCAGAAAATAACAGCATGTAAATTCTACACAAAATGATTGGTTAACAGAAGAGACCATTGTTGTTGGCTTAGGGGGAAAAAAAACCTCATTGGAAAACACTGTTTCGCCATAATCAGTGCATTTAAACGTCATTATTTCATACTGTTGAGTCAATGTTATTGTACAAATGAGTATTACAGCCAAAGTGAGAACAGTCGGAGAGAGAAGTTCAAAATGAGACATAAAGCCTAGTTAGATGATGAAGTGTTGGCTGGGAGTAAATGTCACCTTCCTTCTGTTTGTGTGTATGTAGAGCTGACAGTGCAGCCTCTGCCATTAACACAGTCATACGTTGCCTCAGCATTCAGGGTCAGCACTGTGTGAAATTAGAATCTGGAAAAAAACTATTAAAGCCAGAAGGAAACAAGACAAAGCAGCAGTAAGTGTTCTGTCAACACAGCCATCGCAAAGATATTACCAAAGCAATCTAAGACTGGGTGGTTGCACAAAAACCTATTTGAAAAAGTAGCACTTAATGTGGGGGCAATATTGTATAGAAGGGGGTTGAAGCCTCGTCCTGAACGCGTTATGTCCTCAGGGTGAAAATATTATCACAGATGGCAAAGGAATTGTTAACATGAATCTGCATGATATGGAAGAGTTTCACTTTTTTTCCAAGTCCAAACACAGACACATCAGAGAGTCTTCTCAACATCGTCCTCTGTGTAACAGCATCCTCCACCAGGAGTTCTCATCACTTTACTGCTGCTAGAACCTGGTGGAGCCATGAACAGATGTTGCCCAAAATAAATAACAGTGCATATAAAACTGTTACCAGAAAATATGGTAGACTTTCTAAAAACACAATAAGACCAAAACTGTGTAACCCCATCAAACTGTGTAACCCCATCAAACTGTGTAACCCCATCAAACTGTGTAACCCCATCAAACTGTGTAACCCCATCAAACTGTGTAAGCCCACCTTGTTTTTTTTTTGTAGTAGTAGAAAGTGCTACTCCCTGAGCATTAGCCACAAGTTTCTTTGACATCTGCTTTGTCACCTTTGACACAGAGTCTGATTACATTTGTTGTTATAAACAACTTTCCAGGAACTTCCCCTCTGTTAACACTTGACTCATTGTGAAGTACTTTCAAGCTAACGACATGTTAGCTTCAGCTTCCTCTCTTGTCCTCCAACAAAAGCAACGTACAAAAAAGATGTGCTGCAAAACCAGCAGGACGTGTGCTGTCCAACTAGTTTGAACTAGACCTGGCCAGTTCTATCAGTGTATCTCTGGTGTTCAGCAACAGTTATTTCCTCTGGCGACACCAAGGCCATGTGGTCACGAGGTTAGCAGGGTGGTTTCTAATCCAATACTGACACAGTTGTACCCTTCCTTCCACAGGGTCCTTCTTCCCAGCCCTGAAGCCGTCTGAGACAGTGTTTAAGGTGATCTTCTGGCTGGGCTACTTCAACAGCTGCATCAACCCTATGATTTATCCCTGCTCCAGTAAAGAGTTTCAGAGAGCTTTCACCCGTCTGCTCAGGTGCCAGTGTCACCACAGGCGGAGGGTACTGCGTCGCTTCTACAATCAGCGGTGGCGAACGGCCGCCAGGGGATCGGCGAGGGATCGGAGAGAAGACCGCCAGCTTGGCGGTGCGGGGAACGAATCCTGTGGAAGCTCGCTTTTACACAAGGGTCGAGGTCACCCGCTGAATTTGAAAAAGTGGAGCCTGCTGCAGCCTCTACAGAAGTCCTCCGTCCAGCTGAAGGAGAAGGTGACTGATTTGTCGAATAAATTCAAAGGAGGGGCCGGGAAATGTGCTGCACCGGCGGTTGGACAGTTCGACCGGGTAGACACAGTGTCAATGGGGATTTACCACTCCTGTGAAGCCCACAGCTATCCATTTTATGATCTCTCTGACTGCTACGGTCTGAAAGAGACTGACATATAGACGGTAACTGCACAATACGTATTTATTTCACAAAGAGCCACACTTGTATCTTTACGAGAATATCAGAGAGTAAATGTTTTTTTTTGAAGAAATGTGCGAAGAATAAAAGCATCCATTCAGCACAGGAAGAACAACTTGACGTCAAATACATTTTGCCTATTCCACTACCATCATTCTTGTCTCTTTGTTACCAAAACAAACTGTACTTTGATGACGCGGCCATTATTGGTCACATCATTAGACTGTCTTTGTTGAATTAATGATATTAAGGGTTTACAGTGAGTGAGACCATGTCATGTCAAGCTGAGGACACACGTGTGTCAGGGTCAGAGTCACCGAACATCTCAGTTGAAATTCCAGGTACCCATGTCGACTAATGGGGCAGTTTACATTGACATTTCCAGGGGCAACAGTGCAACAGAGCGGAGGTACACCACAACAGCAGGCTCACAGATGAATCCATGTCCTCGTCTCTGAGAATCAGCAGCCATCAGTGGTAGTATGATGTAGAGCTAATAAAAAAAACTGAAAGTGGATACAAGATGTAAGACGTTTCCTTTTTTGCTGGTACTTCTACAAATTTCTTCTTGTGACGTATTTAATTTTGCCATTGGTATTGACCTTGGTTGTACAAAAATGTAATTTAAATTCAAAACATAAATGTTGATTTTTACAAACGGATAAGTTTTGGTGTTGAAAGTGTTTTTCTTTTGCTAAGGAAAAAAAATAAGGAATCAATAAAATTGAGTGACTACATTTGAATCAATCTTTTGTTTAGTACTACACACAGATATTCCACTTTCTACCATACATAATTATATACACATATATTTATATTTAATTATATATTCAAATGTCATATACTGTATTATATAATATATATAATTGTATGGATATAAGGTAAATATAAATGTAATATATTTCTGTGCTGTGATGGCCTCTGTGTGGGCCACTTCCAGGTTCTCAAAGACTCTGTACGTCTTGAGCCTTTGGAAAAATGTGGGGACAATTATCAGCTCTCCTGACGGTACAGTACAGAAATCCAGCCCTAAACCAGCAAAGAACCTCGAGTGCTATTCAAACCTTTCTGATATCTGCTGCACCAGGATCCCCAACATATACTGTCTACTTTTCTTTTACCAATCTTGACTATAAACAAACCTTTACAACACGTTGGCGATACCAGTGAGGGTTCATGCTTTATCTGTCCGTCCACTCGGCTCTTTCCTAGTCTGAGACAGTTCCATTCCAGAGGAGGTTCCAGGCAGACACACCTTACAGCCCAGAAACATGAGAAATGCCCGACGGAAAGAACGATTGAAGAAACCGTACAAGAATGGATTCAGAGACGAGTTGATGTAGCCTAGCCACAGAGATACGTCCCAGACGACCACCTCAGTGCTGTAATCAATGAATGGATCCAGGATGTTCACGGTGAAGAAAGGCATCCAGAAGATGAGGAAGACTCCCATGATGATGCCCAAGGTCTTGGCCGCCTTCCTCTCTCGTTTGATAGTGTTTCGGTGTCTTCGTTTCCTACTCGTGTCTTTTCCGACACCGGCGGCCATTTGACTTTCAATGACGCTGATCTGCTGAGCCTGCCTTCTAGCAGCTTTGAAGATGCTCCAGTACGCTGCCAGCATAATAACCATTGGCAGGTAGAAGGCCACTACGGAAGCCATGACTGCGTAAATGCGATTGACCAGAAACAGACACAACTCTTCAGGAAGATAGACGTTCACACCGGCGACATGAAGATCAAGCATTATCGGAGCAAAGGATATGAACATGGGAACAACCCAACAGGCGACGATGAGAAGGGCAACTCGACTGCGGGACATTTTCAAACTGTATATCAGCGGGTTGCAGACGGCGTAGTAACGGTCGAAGGCGATGCTGCTGAGATGAAATATGGAAGCTGTGCAAAGCATAACATCGAGGCTGGAATGGATACGACAGAACAGGGCACCGAAGTACCAGCACCTGTCCACGGTCCGTACCATACTGTAAGGCATCACGATGAGGCCCACGAGACAGTCGGCCACAGCCAAGGACATGACGAAGGAGTTTGTGGGCGACTGCAGCTGTTTGAAGTAGGCGATGGACAAGACCACCAGGAAGTTTCCAAACACTGTGCAGGTGATCACAGCAAAAAAGACGGCGTAGAGCAAAACACGGGACGCCTGGCTCCTCGGTGCAGGACAAGACTCAATTTCAATCTGGAAGGATCTGTTATAATCTCTGCTTAATCCAAGGCTGCCGTAATCCATGGCTGTTTTTAATCTGTCAAAAACACATTATTTTACATGTATTAAAATAAAATTATATGCAAACTTTACATTTTGGCTTTTTTTTAAACTTTGAATAGTTTTTAAAAATCCATTAATTAATACACACACATCCGGTTAGTATCCAATTCTATGGTTTCACACCCTTGTGGAATGATGTATTTACGTAATACTTGACTTACAGGAATACAGACTAAAGACCATTTCATTCCTTCGTGTTAAAAAGAATCCACCTCTGGGTCAAAGGTGGAGTTGGAGCCAATCCCAGCTTTCATGGCTGAGGGTGGGGTACATCGTGGACAGTTTATGTCCCGGTGGTAAATGTCCCAGTAACCTGTCCCTGCATATGTTTCTACTGGGGAACAAAACTGAAGAACCGGGAGAAAACCCACACACAACACAAAAGCTCTGTACAGTTTTCCCCATCTGGTGGCCCAATACGACTGTTCATCAATAAGATTCTGACTGTACCCGTTATTTACACAGGTTTTGTATTTTCGTTACATTAAACAGAAGAGCTGAGTTAAATGGAACTCCAGTGCCTGTGGTATAAACAAGGAGTAAATGTTCCGGATCAGTCGGACTGATTTTAATGAACACCTCCGGGACCTGACAGCAACAGCAAAGTACAGATAAGAGAAGATTTGGGCTTTCTGGGCATGGAGTTAAGCTTCTGCTGAAAATCACAACCTCTTTGTGTCAACAGGGTCAGAGTAAGTTTTAGGAATTGAAGGCTAGTCAAACTCAACAGTTACTCTGACAAAGAGCCACAGGCTGGGCTGCGGCAGGAGGGAGAGCGTTGAGACTAGTCATTATCATAATCTTTCTACACGAGCAGAGCCGTTTCCTTGGAAATGTCTCACTTCAACAGGACCATTAAGAGCCCCAAATCCATCTGTTAAAAAAATAAAAACATTAAACAAAACAAAAAAAGACAATGTGTCATCAAGTGCATTTTATTTTTCAAAACCTGCATTTCAAATGTAATGAAAACATTCTCTAAGTACTCCTGTTAAAATTCCCCTCAAAACTTATTTGTACCAATACTAGCTCTACTGCATGTCCAAACACACACACACACACACACACACACACACAGAGAGACAAAAACAAACACTCACCTGCCCAGAAAATATCAGCATCCGTCCTCAGGTTTGGAACCACACGGCGGGTCTTACTTTTCTGCCGAGGAGAGATGAATGGCAGAGATGGGAAGCAGGATGCAGTGGCTGCATGCAACAGCAATCAAGGAGGGAGAACATCATCGTTGTCCTTCCCTGCCAGTCAGGTGCACGTCTGCACACTTTCTTTGAATATATCACTGCAACAAACAAAAGATTGGGTCAAAATCACATTAAGGTCTAATGTTCGTTTGTATCTAACTGAAGATCTGATACTCACCGAATGCTGACCTGCCGTGGATCCTCGATGGATTTATTATCACTTTTTAATGACTGTTTAAATATACACCCAGTTTTGCAGCATACTATTATTTTTTCTTTTACCTGTGGGCAACAGAGGAATGTTGGGAATATTGAACATAAATGTTAAACCATGGAGACAACCAGAAGCTACTTGTTATTGAAACTTTTATTTAAGATAAAAAGTTAAAACAATAATAATGATAATAATAATAATAATAATAATAATATTACACCTAATCAGTATCTGAGGTAACTACTGTATACAGTATAGGCTCAGGCAAACACAGAAATGAACACACATTTTTTTAATCTAATTCTTATTTGTACAACAGCTCCACTCTGAGCTCATGTGTCTCAGTGTGCAGTAGAGCATCACCTGTGTGAACATCAGCCAGCGACAGCAGCTCCTGAAGTGTGCACCATGTATCCTAATTAAACATGGGGGATTTTTAATTAGGGCTTTAGTTACAAAAAACAAAACACATGGCTTTGTCCTTCGTTTTGTTTTGTTTTTTCCCGCCAGGGAACAGCCATTCATTTTTGTCATGTGAATGGTAATCTAGTGCATCTGTTTTTTTGTTGTTTGTTTTCAGAGGGGCCACTCGTGGCATGTTTCTGCTGCATTCACCACAATTACACATTTTATTTGTGGCAGTGGTTTCAGGCCACAGACTCTATCTATCTAAAGTTCGTTTCTCATTTATTTCTGTTGCCTATTTTTGTTTTTTGTTTGTTTTGTTTTTTTTTGTTTTTGTTTTGTTTGTAATAAATAAATAAATAAATAAATCCTGTAATTGTTTATCAAAGTGTAGCATAATACCGTATTCCTTTTGCTCCTGAAAAAAAACATCTATACAGACACATCTAATTGAAGATCTATTTGAATGTATGGGTTTTTTATTTGTTTGTTTTTGCAGATATTAATAAAGTGAATATAACTTGTCTGACACATAACTTTGTTTTTGACATTCCTGTTCGTTATTTGGTTGTAATTTAAATATAAAAGGTGAAAGGTTTTAGATGAGAGTGAAAGACTGAGGAAGGCATTAACATATCAAGGCATGTTGATCAATGCTGCCCTCTGCTGGGTATTATATCTCATTGCATGTAAAATACAAGAGAGTGACCTCTGAAAACAGCAAATATGGCATATATAGTTATAGACAATATAGTTAAACGCAATCTCCAGCAACAAACAGAAATAACAACAAATATATATCTCACCACCATGACAAGGGAAACTTGGGAAATCATTCCATCCTGTAAGTGATGCTGATTAGTGAAGGCAAACATGGTCGGGGTTTGTTGTTTTGGTCACTAAATTACTCATTTTTGTTGGTCTATGGCCTAAATCCCACACCCTGACATCAAACATAGTGGCGCTTTGGCCCAGAGACAACGTCTCTGTCACTGGTGTGGAACCCCAGGGTTCACCTCCTGGTCAAGATCAAATCCCGGTTAGAGCGGTTGGTACCTTCCAGTGGACTCACCACCTGCAGGAAGGTTCAGGGGGGTTGATGACGGTGCAGTGTGATTTGGGTGGCGGTCATGGAGACTGCTGCCCCCGCGACCCGGTAACAGATATACATTTGCAGATGTTTTCCTAAACTAAATTGGTCTTTAAAGAATAAAAAAGAAGACTATTAACAATAGTCTAAAATCTATCAAGCCCCTGGTAAAGGTACAAAAACAAAGGGCAATATCTTGACAGTTCCTTACAAAACAAAGAGGTGGGGGAAATTAGCGCTAGCAACAGTTGACAGATATCTAGCTATCTGAGCTACCACTTTAATATCTAAAAATTATAAGCATTTATTTGGATTGAAACAAAAGTAATAAAGATAGCCCTTAAGTCACATTGGACTACACATATCATTTAACTGTTGTTCAGGTAAATTTCATATTGTGTAGTTAGAACATTTATTAATGTGTTCCTGGGCATATGTCCCAGTCAAGCATCAACAGCGGGCACCACCCGTTGATTATTAGGGTGTCAGCATCTGCGTCACTGTCAGCAGTGTTACTGCAACGACAATCAGAATGTTGGCTGAAGGCACATTAGGACTGCCTGATGTTGCAGCTGAAAAAAGAAGAAAAAAAAACAGTTTAAAAAAGGATTTAAAATTCACATACTGGCTTGTGAGTTAATTATAAAAAAAATCATTTTTAAACCAATACCTGTTTCTATTAATTAAAAAATAGACTAAAAATATAAAAAGGACAAATAACACAAATCAAATCAATCCTTCATTGTTAATAATTCCTAAAGGATAAAAAAAGGAAAACAACTTACAAATGTCAAGGGATCCACTTATGAAACCAAGCCCTGTGTCTTGAAGTTTACTCAGAAACGCTAAAGATGAAGCGCTGACAGAAGGAACTGAGCTTTTCTCGAATCTGAGAACTGACTCAACCACCACGGATCCCTCACTGCAGAGGCAGAGAGCGTCAAACACTGTTCAATCCTGCCGTTTGGGTTGATATAAACATGAGTCAACTGTGAAATGTTCTTACGTGAAAGAGGTGACTGTAGATCCCTTGTACGTTGAAGGATACAGGCTGTTTCCCGCTTTGTCAATCTGAAAGAGAACAGTAACAAATAAAACAAGTTACAAAGGTAAAACAAAGAGGGTTCTTCTGCAACATCAATTCAGTTCGACTTTTGACTGTTTTTTTTTTATGTTTTTTGTTGCCTTTTTCTCTGTAATGAAATATAAATTACTTTATAAAAAAAAATATATAAAATGCCAAAATTGCTATTACTATAGTACAATGCATTACTTCAATTTCTTATATTGTGTCCTCGACTGTGGGACGACTAAAGGACTGCAAAATCCACTTTTTGTGTTTAGTGGATTATTTGAGAACACTTATTTTTTACTCGCAATTACAGTCTTACTAAAATGTTTCACTAAAAATACAATATATAGAACATTGTTTGTCAACAAACATCCCTACCTCATCGGTGACCTCTGTTTCCAAAGTCTTATATGCGTCAGAAGTTGAATCGGCGTAATCGCTGATGTATGTCCTGTTCATACTGAATTTCATGTTAAGGGTTCCCTCCTCATCTGTTGATGTGGTGGTGGTCACAGCAACTGTGGTGGCTGTAATTGCTGCCGTAGTTGAAGTACCAGTAGTGGACTCAGTTGTCATCGTTGTTTCTGATTCTGCGATGTCAAAATAAAAGTTGATAAACTTATTACAAAACATACTGGAAGTGTTACGTTAACATACAAACCCATGTGGAGCAATGCTATTAGCAATGTCGTAGCTTAAGATGAGAAAATGTATAAATATTTAAAAACATTAATCTTCTAGTTTTAATTTACTCACAATCGACTTACTCAGAGTGAACCCTGTGCCTGTTTATTTGAACACAACACTGATATAGTAAGATGAATTGAAGAAAGAGGAAGAAAAAGATCTTCTTTAATGTTTTTTTTTTAAGGGAAGAGTATTTCTTTGTTCTGCCTGTCACTCTCACAGAAAATGAAAGACAATTAAAGACAATTAAAGACAATTAAAGACACCTAATGATCACTAATGTCTCACAAGTGGTTGAGAATCACTGCCTTAAACATACATTATGAAAACATATATATATATCTACACTACACGTATTTTTACAGTCATTAAAGTTACATTAGTTCATGACAATGACGTACACAGTACATAAATCATCATCATTCTTATCACCTTCCTATTCATTTTTAAAAAGTGTTTCCCTCTACTTTGTGTGTCAAAAACATACCTCCGTCAGTGAAGACATTTGTAGGTAGTTCAGACATGTCATCAGTGAAGTCTGGGAAGTCTGTGAGATCTAATCCTGAAACAAATCAATAAAACACATTCTGTCATTGTCTGTGAAAACCAAACTGAATGGTTATGACATAAAAAAAATAACAATAAAACAATGACTTTGGTACTGAAATGGGTTGAAGAGAAGAAAGTGGAATAAGGATACCATCAGTGATAAGATCAATTTCAGTTGGCTGTGGTTCCACTGTAACGTCAACATGATCTGTACAAAGAAATGGACAAAATAAAAAAAGAGAAAGTGAATATATAAATAAAATTCAAGAAAGAAATTCATTTAGTTACACTGAAAGTCATTATTGGGTGTCATGGATATATATGTATATATATATATATATAGATATATATATACAGTGTATATATATCTGACGATCTGACAGCCCTTGTTTTAAAGGTTGACCTGTGTTGTTAGTGTACATTTTACCTGATGGTGTTGTTATTCCCACCAGACCTAATGGAGGCAAATGGACAAAGTTTGAATGTCATATACTGTACGACAAGAACAGTTTCTCTGTGCAATGTCATCCTTTATAAATAAAAGAGAAATAGAATAAAAACTGAGAAATACAACAAACACAAATACAATAACATTTTAAAAAAGTATCTGATATGAACAAAAACTGTCTGACAATTCAACTCATTCACAAAATGCATAAAAGAAAATGTCCGTTTGGTTCTCAGTGTTAGATCAAACACACTTCAACCAATAGTACTAGTAATGGTATCCAATAGTGTAATATATGATTAATACTTTAAAAACATACCTGCAATCAAAAGAAGTATGAACAAATCCATCCTCTCCTCTGGCTCGTGTCAAACTAAAGGAACTGTCAATAATTTCTTATCTCTGTTTGAAGACATCACATAACATCTATTCAGTCCATCGGAAGAATGTTCAAACAATAGTCGGTGATTATATTATATGATATAAGCTGGCATACATCCAATTAATCCGAAATCGAAAATAGTTTGAAGAAAAAAAACAAAAAACAAAAAAACAACCATGAATTGTGGCAGAACAACCTGAGCCACAGGAAGTGAACGGATCACAGTGTGCCATGGAAATACATGGTTGGCGACACAATTAACAAAACCTAGAAACAATTTGATTTAGAGAACTAAAACCTTCTGGAGAGACGAGTCTGGGTGACTCACATCTCTAATAAATCACCTCAGGAGCGATCAATCTACATATCTGTATCATCACAATGATAAAAAAATAATTATGTATTTTGGTTTACATATTTAAAATTGAGTATTTAGTACTAAAGCAGTACTAGTATGAACTAAAGATCAAGTATTCTCCATCTCACCTGAGTAGACGTCCGAGCTCCTGTTGTTCTGCTCACAGCTGCTGCTCTTCACTGGAGACACAGCTCAGGTTCTACCCTTAAAAAACTGAAATGAATCACAGAGTTACAAAGGTTTTTTTGTGAGAAACAAGAATGTCTGGATTTATTGCTTTTTGCACCTGACAGCAGCTGCAAGACCCGTTTCTGTACGTCACTTTCGTGTTGGACCACATTGTAGTCATGGAAAAAAAAAAGTCGGGGTGTGGCACTGGTGGTGGGCGAGGAAGATAAGGTATTGGAGATCTTGTCATTTCGATCACAGGTGAGGTCTTACCTCACAGCACTAACATACTCCTTGACTTTTGTGTTGCAAATAAACCCTAGCAAAGTTGGAGAAAAGAACTTTTAATAAACCTGTGTCATTAGTTTGTTCTGATGATTCCTCAAAAATACTGCCCTTTAAGACAACATTCTACAGGCAGCAAACTTTGGACATTTAAAGGTGGTAGTTTTGTGAGTATGTCTTGGTAGTATTTGTCAAGGCGTACTTTGTACTTCTACTCAACTCGCTTTGTGTGTGAGTAAATAAATTTAATACGACGGAAAGAAATGTCCCCTGCTCAGTTTGTCACTGAATGACTATGTTGTCGTTGACGTAAAGAGGTCGTGTGATGCTATTTTTGGAACAGGTTTGTTAAATGTCAAAGGTAGACAACTGAACGTGTTGTGTTCCAAGTTTCTCCCCCGTTTATAAACCCAATATTTCCTCTCACCTGTCACCAGGGCCTCATGTTTGGATGGTAGAATATTATCAGATTCATTGAATAAAAAAACGTGGACATTTGAATGCATGAGCAAAATGACTTGCACTTATTCACACCATAAGTTCACACCTTGATATTTGCATAGACTGCAGGAAAAGGTTTGTGTCAGATTAATCACAGGGTAGCAAATAACATTAAGTTATCAAGATAAATTGACATCCCTAAACATAAAAACATCAATTCTGTGTATTGTCTGTATGTCTATATTAGGGCTAACAAAGTTATTAAAAGTTTAAATCAGATTAATCACAAGGCATCTGTGGATTGTTAATCTAATCTAGTCATGAATAATCTTAAATTATCATGTATTTGATCCTGTAGCATTCACATTACAGTGATATGTGTTTTGTTCACATTTAGAAGAGGATCAAGTTTGTGATCATTTGATCCAAATCCTCATTGTGCAGCGTACATGCAGAAGGGGAGGGAAACTAGTGTCACTGTGCAGTAAATACCACATTAAGAGCCAGTGTGAAAAATAATCTAATGGACGTTCTAAATGTAACAAAAATGTTTTGCTTTTTTCTGTGTATTGCTGGAACAGAAAGTCAAATAACAGCAGGTAGAGCTACTGTATGTGTTTCACACCTAATCGTTTCAAATTGTGACTAAAACTATTTTTTACTAATAAAAAAATTAAAAATGATGCTCAGATTAATTTTTCACAAATTAACATGGACATTTTTTAACAACCGTTGTGGGTTTTCCCTTCTTAGTTCTTCAGTATCTAAGGTACTGCCTACGTGACTGCAAAGCATTCAGAAAATTAGAAACATCCCGTCCCTGGAGGCCGTAAAAACTACCAGTTCCTGTAAAATTCGGCAGCACCAGTTCATCCACGGCTACTGACATTCTGTTACATCAGTGTCACTTGTTGTGTCCTTGTGATCTCGGTTAAATACAATTTAAATTTACTCTGTCCACACACACAGCCGTCCAGGACACATCGTACAATAAAGAGATCAAAATAAACAATAAACAGTTTCCCTCAGAACACCATTTTCATTCACAGTGGGAAGTCTGGATATCACACACACAGTACAAGTAAAGTAAACAGGACTGGGACTAAATATATGTACACAAAAGTCTTCTTCCTGTGTTTTAAATTATTATTATTATTATACAAGTATTGTGTCTATGAAGATTCTCAGTCACCCAAGAGGCTTCTTCAGTTCAGAACTGCCTAACAGAACTTTCAAACTTCATTCGTTGTGAATCGCATTCCGTTAAATTGCATTATTTCTGCGTAGAAAATGATCTGCGTAGAGCTGTTTAGTTAACAGTAGAAGTACCAGTGACGTGACACAGCAATAAAAATAATAGCTGTGGCTCTTTTTTTACTGCATTTCTTCACAGTAATCTCTCCTTTATTTGAAAAACGCAACTCAAATAGTATATACTGTAATAAAAGTGGGGTAGTTTTATATATTTAATATATATATATATGTATGTATATATATGTCCATCTGCAGCTTATCATAAAACAGCAACTTCTTTTTATTTCTGTGAAATACAACCAACTTTGAGTGACTGTGCTCAGATTGTGTCTACCAAGAATGAAGCTTGTTAACATTCTGGAAACAAATATGCCGCCTGTGGGAGAGTCACATACTCCATGTCCACACACTCAAAATGTTCAACATCCTGAGACTGCTTTAAATTTGAAAACAAATGACTTACTTTTAAACATTAGTAGTTACCAATACTGCAATACAGGGCGTTTATTTTATTTTGTTTAACTGAACTATATTTGGTCAAGTCAGTAGTGGATTAAAAGTGTGAATTTATAAGTGGGTTCCACTCAGGTGATCTACATGTCTCAACAAAAGATTTTATTGATTCAAAAAAGAAGGAAATTAAATTACTCCGAACCACTTTACAGAGATTGCTGTACAGTTTGTCCCGTATTGTTTCTTTTTATTATTTCAAAATGAACAGTAAATCCTAACAACAGATATTCTCGCAGGAAAAAAAAGAAAATACCTGCTGTACTCCACTGTAACAACTCCACCCCTCAATGCAATAAAACAATAGTCTGTACATTTAAACATTCTCAGATTTGTTTAGCGTATATAAACAATGAAAGAAAATTGACTCACTGCTTCTTGTATCTCATCTGTGAAATCCTTGAAGTCTTCACAGGATTTATTTGAATGTTGCAATGAAACGTTTTCTTGAAGTTTGAACTCCAGAAACAACTTTGTTTCAACTGGTCTTTTAAATATATATCCAACAGTTTCGAGGCTCCCTGGGGGTTAGCTGGCAACACAGTGTTCGTTAATCGCAGCAATCCTAATAATTACCACTAACATTTCGACACATTGCGCTTTGCATTGCCTGAATTATTTCTTGCATGATTAAAGTTCTAATACTTCCTTTACAAAAGGCTCACATGTGGTCTGGTGACGGTGTCTAAAAAGCCAGTGAGAGTAGAAAGGCAGGAGGAGAAGAGGAGAGACAGGTAGGAGAAGCTGCAGTGTTCAGCCTGCAAATTAGTTAATTAAGTTCACCTTTGTGATCTCTGCACCGTGCACCAAGACAACTAACTTTGTTTAACCAAGTTTAACCACCGACTGCAAAAAAGCAGCAGAACCTACATCGACGTTCTCCACATCGGAGATGTCACGTTCATGCCACCTTTCTTTTGCTTCATTTTAATCAACCTTTCTTAATTGATTGGAGACAAATTTATATAAAATAAACATATATGTTTACAATGTTTTATTTTGTTATATAACTGTTGTACATATCTGTGCACCATTTCGTATTATATCGCTATTTTATATTGATCAAAATCATGACGAGCCAGAGCAGGTACAAAATGACGATTGTTTATTTAGGAAAGTCGCACTTAATCCACCAAGAAAACAAAAAACAAAGGTTTGTGTTTGTAAAAATCAAAATCAAAAAGGTTTGATACGTCCATTTTTTACAACTGCATAATTTAGCGCGGTGGAAACCCCCTGTGTGGACCTCCCCTCCCCCTGAACCCTCCTCTGTCCCCTCGGAAATTTGGTCGATTTCTCTCACGGCCCCTGTCTCCACCTCTTCCTGCATTTGGTCCACCTCGTCCACCCCTGGGTGCTCCACCACCACGGTCTGACTTCAGCTTGGCGGGGGGAGATTTAGGCCTCAGTCTCTCTATTTCCTCTGTGCAGCCAGAGAGATGGGAATTAGGCAATGCAAAATGCAAAGCATAGGTCTCTGGGTTGAAGTTACTGTTTGTCAAAGTGGGGCCCACAGTCAGCCAGCCTAGAAAAGATGGACAAGAAGTTGGATGTGAAAAAAACATAGTGTGCTCAAAATAGCTTAGAAAAGTTAAAAACTCATGAGCATCACCTGGTCTAATGGTAGAATCGCGTCCAAAAAGGTGCAGCCTCCTGCGGCCCAGACAGAAGTGTTCAATGATGTGGAAGATCTCTACAGGCTTCTCCACATTTCCCATCTCAGGCTCCTCAGTGATGATCAGGTCAATGTCCACATTGGCATGGATGAAGTCTCCATCAGTGCTCCTACGTACTGTCCCTTTAATTCCCATCAAACAGTGTTCCTGGAAGAAATGCAATTGAAAATGTGTGCAATAAAGTTCGACAGTAACACCTCAAATCTAACTAAGGTAAAGCTGACTACCTAAACCAGGGCTGCCCAACAAGTAGATTGGGATCTACCAATAGATCACAAGCAAATAAAATGATAAAATCGATAAACTAACGGCTTCACTGAAGTGTTGAAAGCAGCTCTGGCCAATGTCAAGATGCACTAAAATCCTAGTAAAGTCTTTTTTGTGTGTACTGCACCTTGGTTCTCTGGAACACTGCTTTGGGGTCCAGTGCCTTAGTCTTGCCTGGGTTGTTTTTGTTAGTCTTGATCCAACAGATGTCCTCGCACCGTCTGAAGCCCCACTTCCTCAAACACTGAAATACAGTTCCATTCAAAAATCATTTAATCCCCCTAGTGGCCAAAACTAACATTCAAATGTCTTTAGTTCAGTCAGCTGTTAAAAACAACAAATTAACAGCTGAACTAGACTGACTGATGAAAGCACTTTTTAAAGCATATTTCAGTACTGGTTCTGTACCAACATACTGCATTAAAGGTGAGATAAAGATAAGACCACAGTGGGGAGATTTCGTTACAGCGGCAGGGTAGACGCGTAGGACACTCAACAAGTGGCAAAAATTAAAACTACTTTAAGTAGTCAAGACAGCTAAAGTACTAAATGTACTGTGATCATGAAAAGGAATTCTGTTACCATTCTGCCCAGGTCCAGGCCTTCACCGGAGCCACACCACAGAAAAACAAAGGACCGTAAGGCAGATATCTCTTCAATTTCAAGTCTCATGATCTGAGAAAACAAGAAAGAAGGTTGAAAGAGGATATTGAGTGCAAAAAAACCCCACATAAACAGAATGTCACCTCTCTGAATCTATTTACTCTTAAAGGGTTAGAATATACAAACATCATCCCAGGTCCAGCAGCGTTCAGTATGGCTGATGCCAGACTCTCTGTAATATTCCTCTAGTGGAGGTTCCAACAAAATGACATCAAACTTGCACTTCAAATCCTGGAGGTCAAAGTGTTCTGGGTCAGCCTGGAGGTACCTTAAATGCGGGAACAGGCAAAAAAGTTAACAACACAGACTTTCATAGACAGTCTTATTGATATTTGAATTGTATACTACAGTTAACAATAGTCTAATGAAAATTTTGACCAACAGAGTCTGTCTCAACTTGAATGGCTGACGATTATTACAATACCAATCACAGACACACAGTATGTATGTATTTCTTTTTTTCCTCATAACTTATCGTACATGGGCGGTGTGTTGGTGGTGGAGATGAGTTCATCCTTAAGTCTTATCAGCTCTCGGAGTTTGGGATATTCTTCGAATCGATCAGCCAAACCTAAGTACAAGAAGCAAAGGTCAGAACAAACCACCATTAACGTGTTTATTAATAACAAAAAAGGTCATCTTATAGGCCGAGAGTCATCAGTCCGTGTCTGTGCTCCACTCTCAGAGACGACACAGTAGATGTTTATTCCAGTTGTTTTATTCCAAGTTTTTTGTTTAACAATGAATAAATAAGAATGCAGAGGGTAAAGGCCTAAGAGTCAATGATGTTTTTCACACTGGTGATAATATATATATATATATATATATATTGATCACAACTTGAAACACAGACATAGACCATAAAACTCACCAACGTCTCTGATGAAATTTTGAGGCCTGTGACCTGTGTCCACAAAGTGTTGGCAGTAGTCATTGTGAGGGTTTAAACTCTGCGTACCCTGAGAAGAGAGGAATGAACTTAGATCCACAATGATAATTAAAAAGAATGCAGCAGAATACAACACTAATCTCTCTAGATTATCTTAAATAATTGAAAATGACAAGTGAACTTTAAAAAAGGTGTGTGTGTGTGTGTGTGCACTAATTCTTTTCTGTCAATTCCTTGAATAGTCTCCACACATTGAGGACATATTGTACCTCTGCCTTCTGGAGGTGTTAAAAACATTTCTAAAACCTAAACTAACAGGCTATGACAAATATAATTTATACTTTAAAAAAAATGACACTGCACAGTAGATGTGGGAAAAAACTTTTGTGTTCAAATAGAATAGAAAGAATAGAAAGTTATTTTTCTTGACATTTCAACATGTAGTACATTTCCCTAATATTAAACACTAAGTGTAAAGTCAAACAAATGAATCCTGGACTCATCATTTCTAGAAGATTACATTTCACCAAACCTTGAGGAAAGTACTTGAATCCTTGTACACCTCTTCATATGGATTACTCTCATCAAGTTGTTGCACTTCCATGTCATCCTTACAAAAAAACATACAAAGACATGAAGAATTATATTTATTATCAAACAAAAGTAGGCTTAATAATTAAGATGCAAACTACTGAGACAGTTTTAAAAATTCTGTTAAATAGTTAAACAATAAGATAATTTACCATATTCTTATCCTTGATTTAGTCACTGTAACTCTATTATATAAAATATTTGCAGCTTAAGAAAAGTGATCCTACTGTAACTACTACAAGACTCACCCTTTGTTCTTCCACATCTTCTTCCGTCTCCTCTCCTTCTGCCTGAGCCTTCTTTTTGGATGCAAGTAATGAACTGTCAAGAGAAGACCTGAAAAAAGAATACAACTTTTTAGATATAATTTTATGTGATGGCCCCATTGAGCTCACAATCATCACATTGCAATGGGATGAGAAAACCATGAAAGGATCTGGAATCTGTAAAAAGGGACGTATTATTCAAAATTGCTGAATTTGAGCAAAAAGAAAAACCTCCATGCGCTCTCACCGGCATGTTTCTCTTGTTTCTTCTATCTCTTTTTGCTCGTCCTTACTGTTTAACACAGCTCCAATGCTGTCTGCACTCTCTGCCCCCAGCTGCACAAAGACATTACATACAATTGTAGATTGAGTAACTGGAGTACCTTCATGAAAAACACGTTGGGTTTATTTAAGCAATAACCATAACAATATGCAGTGTCTTAAAGCACTAAACGGGAAAGTACATAATTCGAATCCACAATTAACGACTTAAACTAGGTTCATTTTTAGTTAGTTATATCCGTGCTGTTTTTTAAAGGGTTGAGCAACGTTTATTTACATGTTTTAATCATTAAGTGTTTCTTTCTATATGCACTAACGTGCATGCTTTTTACACTTGACCTAAACTTGTGTGATTCAGAACATTAGTAATAGCTTTAACTTGCCTGTTGTGCTAAAAGCTGCCGTCTAAGCTTTTGCCGCTGGCGAATTTCTTGTAGTCGACTATTCATTTTCTTCGTTAAAATGTGTATTTGCGTATATAGGTTTAAAAACACAGAAGCTTGGAATGCGTTAGCTTTAACCAACAATGGCAACTAGCAAAAAGCATTAGAGAAACAACCGCTACAAAAACAGAATGGGTGCGCTCGATGTTTATACCGCGAGAGCACTGATGGTTGACGTCTATATAATAGGTGGCGTATATTATTTTAAAGTCAACGCTACATGTTTTTATACACAAGTGTACATAACGTTGGACTGCAATCTTAGTAGTGGGGTTTAAACTTTGTAACATCACGTTTTATGTGCTGGCACCGCACAACCGGGAGACTATATCTTAATCAAATGCCGCTCTGACGCTAAATGATGATGGAATCAATGACGCATTTATTTTACGTGAATATATAGCTCGTCCAATCAGCGGTCATCATACTGTTGGCGTGACAGAGTGATCATTTGTCTTTCTTTTGTCTCTCAATTCACTCACATATCATTTGATTATCATATGAGAATGAAAAATGGCTATTATGGTATATCAAATTGGCCGTCATGCTAAATATTTAACATTTTATACATTACGTTTAAAAAACGTAATAAAAACATTTAATTAAAGTTTAGGTTTAGACTGTTTAAAACAAACTACCATTAATTATTTTTGCTCTAATTTAAGTCGATTTTCATACTGTAGAAATTCTATAACAATGTTGTTTTCCTGGAATGTTATGAATTGAAGATTGGAGTCTTTCAGAGGCACCCTTGTAAAAAATTCTCTGTTGTACATTTTTGTCTTAAATTTCGGTATTATTAAACAGTTAAAGGGACAGCTTTTTTTCAGTATTGTCAGCATTTAACACCAAATAAACACAGCCATTTTGCCAAGTTTTCTCTAAAGAAATACTTAAGCTGCTAACGATCAGTGGAGTCCATCCACAGCTCTCACCTTCTCGATACTTTATACATTTATAATATGTTAGTTGTTAGTAATATGTTGTACAGCCCCACGTTTGTTTGTTAAGCAGATTGAAACTTGTCCCATCTTGCAGTGCTAAAAAATGCCATGGTGTCAATGAAGTAAATATAAAATGGGTGCTATTATGTCTTTTGCATCTACCACAAGTAGGAAACAATCTCAATTTTCCCTTGAAACAGGTTTTAACACATACTCTGACCACAAAACACACTGTCAGTGACTTTCATACCATAATAGACTAGCTTATGTCCTTTGTGTTTGCACAGAACTGAGGTGTAGCATCACACATTTTGAAACTGTTGATAGTAATAGATGGTTTTTGCAGTTTGTTTTTTTAACACCCAGAGAGGGTGTCCATGTTAATATTATCATTAGTATTACTATTACTATTGTAGTTGTCGTTTAAGAATACACTATTGTAAAATGTCCAAGAGTCAAATAAATCAACATATTTAACAAAAATTCCCTATTTTTGGTAAAACATTATTATGTTACTTTATTCTCTAAATATAGTTTTAATGTTTATTGACTAGATGTAGATTCTTCCATTATTTGTTTGTGTTAGTTATTTTCGGGGTGTAGTTAATATTAGTCTTTAGAGGAAAAAATAATAGTTTTGTGAATATACAACTATAATTTACAAATAAATGGACTTGTATCCGTCAGCACAGAGATGCGTTCCATGTTGACCTTTGCGTGTTTAAAATTCATCTCGTTATCCAACTTTATAAAGCACAATATGTTTTAACCTCATTTTCATTGCATTTACATTACATTGCATTGCCACCCCTGCATTGCCTTAATATTTCAAATCGCACTAAGGTGGGGGGGTCTTTCAACTTGCGATGTTTCCCTGTGGAAGTTGCCTGCCCCACGCAGTCAGCCCTTTCATTGATCCGCTCTGTTTCCTGGCTCTCACACCTTATCCCACGGCAGGGCGATGACGCCGACCAGAGACCGTCTCTTCAGCCGATGATAGAATCCAGCGTGTTTCATCCTGCCATCATGAATCTGACATCTCTCGCTCTGACAGTCGCACTTTTGGCCGCGACGAGCGGCCGCTGCTCCTCCAGCAGCGTACCCTCATTGATCCTGCCGTTCACCGATTGCATCCAGAGCCGAGGGAAAGACGGATTCTACCGGGGAGCGATAGACACCACCGAGTCCGGAGCCCGATGCATTAACTGGACCGAAGTTCCCGGCTTCAAGGAGCGGTATCCGGGGAAAGGGATTGGAGATCATAATCACTGTCGCAATCCAGACGGCAGGATCCGACCCTGGTGTTTTTTCAGGAACCATAAAGGCAGAGTGGACTGGGGCTACTGCGACTGTAAACAAGGTAAACAAACAGACCTACACACTGTGTTCCACACACTTCGTTTTAGGTCCTCACCTGAATTCTAAATACTCGGGGTTTGTGGTAGATTCAACGACAACCTACTGGTAAGAATTTAAATATGTACAGTATTGCTGCTTGTCACCGACATATGGTCCCTCCTGTTTACAGCGTATGATGACAACAACAACGTCAGGACATTAAATTGAACCAAAGCGTAGAGATTTTTAAATATTTTGACAGGCAGATCATGCAAAAATCGATCCAGCTTGGACATATGAATGGGCTGGTCTTTTATTGCTGATAAGATGTTGGCAGAGTGGTGAGAGGAGTGGTGTGGGATTGCAATCTGGCACAAGGGCTGTAATATTTTTAGTCATGGAGTGTGTTTGCACAACAGTGAACATCATCATCAGTTAGTACCTGCTATACTGTGTTTGGACAGTGTTGCTTTATTGAAAATCACTCAGTGAGAATGCAAGCGATATGATGTCTGGCCTGAATATTAGTTGAGACATTTTTCAAAATGTAAAATGAAGCAAATGTACACTATATTGTCAATATGTGACTTTGTGCCAATATATCACTCAGTGTGTGTTCTGCTGGAGTAAACAGGTCACAGAACAGTCAATCCAACAATTGTGTATAATTTGGAGAGATTTGTTTTTCTGCCTGCCTTCACCTAGATAGAGGTAAAGATATACAAAATCAACCAAATTAAGTTAAAATAATAATAGTAAAAAAGAATAAAAAGAAAATATGTAAAATTTAATATATGTATGTACACAGACTGTGCAATGCAGACATTAGGAAATGCTAATAATTAGCAATACCAATTTAAAACAACAACCATAATCAAATGCATATTTCCAAATCTGCTGACCCGTCTCCGTCCTGCAGGTTCAGTCCGTCTGCAAGGAGGCCGTTCCAAGCTCGATGGCAGGGTGGAGGTCTATCTGCGAGGCGTGTGGGGGTCTATCTGTAGTGATGACAGTGATGACTGGGGGGACAAAGAAGCTGCAGTGGTCTGCAGACAGCTGGGGAAGGGGTGAGAGAGAACACACGCTCATAATGTGTCCAAACATAATGTACGATGTTTGCTGCTCCCCATCTGCTTTTCTTTCTGTTTGGTCTAAGACACAGGTGCAAGTATAGATCCAGCATCTGATGCTGCCTATGGTAATATGACAGCTGGTTTGGATGTAAGGTCTGAATACATGGTTGAATGAGTGTCAGCGGTGTTGACAGGGTTTCACAACAGCCATTCAAGCATTCCTTCTCTTTGCAGTGTTTGGGCTTTTTTTTAGTGAGCCTCACATTCCATCCACTTTCCCAGAGGTTTTTCAAATACCTTGCTTGTTTACCAGTTTTACCTTGTCACTAGGTCTTCTGCCTCCTGTCTGACTATTTGTCCCATTTTGTCTCATGCGTACACATGCTAACCTGTCAAATATTCTTGCGATCTTCATCAAAAGGTGCTGTCAGGGTGGAGTGGGTGGAGCTTCCGGTTTTGCCATGTTTTAAAGTGTGTCTAAATGGGGGTGGGGGTGGGGGTGTTGAGTTGCGAAAAAAACATCTGATTTCCCAGGAGAGCTGTGTGCTTACATGTTGACACGAGCACGAGTGCTGGCACGCATAAACACATGGCTGTTTCTCCATATTCACACAAGACTCAATGAAACTCCAGAGCAGAACGGAAGAGGGCAAATGTCAGCCATATGTCAGCTTGGACCGCTTCGTGATGACTTTCACATGGGCAGTCATAAAAGGCTGTTGAGTAGAAAACTGCTGGCCATAACGGCTCCGAAACAGAAACATGGAAAACCTGGGCGTTTCATTGGCCACAAATTATTTAGTGCTGTCAAATAGCTGCTGAAATCTCCATTTCCTTACAAAGATATAAAATAAATACAAGAATGTAATGTTAGGAATCTAAATAAACTAAGGTCATGTTCCAAGCATTTTCATGTGAATAATCACAGCTCCCTTACTTCATTGCACATTGCAGGATGTCAGGTCATGCTCGTACAATCGCCGTGTCTCGTCCAGGCTTGGCCAAAATACACTGGAGGTCGGTTAATTGCCAGGGAGATGAGCAAGACCTGCTTCTGTGTTCAAAAACTACCTGGAATGGAGGAGAGTGCTCCGTTGCTGCAGCTGTCACCTGCACCCAACAACAAGGTAAGGAACTTTACATCAGACTGTTATTGTAAATTAAAAATATGCTCCTGCAAAAAAAAAACATACAATACATATGGTATTGTATTGGTAGATTCACTTTGTAAATGATGTGCATT